GGGCCCAGCACAGACTCACCCACTCGTAGGAGAGGATCCAGCAGCCGCGCGCCAGGCCCAGCAGCACGTTGAGGGTGCGCAGCGCCTGCCCGGCCAGCACGTGGGTGGTGCTCTCACACACTTCTCGGGCCAACGAGAAGCCTTTCAGTTTGGCCACCACCCGGGTGACGATGCTCTGCTTGCTGTCGGAGGGAAAACAGCACCGTCAAGGCTTCCTGCAGGAGCATCGGGGATGCAGCCCATAAAAAAGACCAGGACAGCTGCGTTTCTGCACCCCTTTCAGCTGTGCCACGTCCCCGTCTCCCACGCCATCACTGGGACCCCGGGGAGACACAGGATGTCAGCTCTCACTGAGTGTCGCTGTGAAGGGCTGAGCGCAGGCCCGGCTGCGACGGCTTTGCCACGTCCTAGACGAGCAGGACCGCAGCCAGGAGTGTGCGGCCTGAGAGTGCGCTCACCAGCCGCGGGCGGGCCTGCCTCTCTCAGTGGTGGCTCGGCAGGAAGGGACCTGCTCCTGCGAATGCGTGGAACTCGCACGCCTGCTGCAGCCTGATTTTCACGGAAAGGGCCCAGGATTCTATGAGAATCTCAAAACCTTAAAACCTATGGCTGATATGAAGAAACACAGGTGTCCCTGTAACAGGAATTCCAAAATCTGTCACAAAGATGGTGCCGCATTTCTGCTGGAAGTGCCGTGCTGTCCAGCGGCTCTGCACCCTCAGGAACCGTGTGGACGCGCACCAAGCATGCAGGGAGCTCCCCGCCAGAGCCTGCTCAGCGCTTCAGGGAAATGGGAGCGAGGCTGCCGGCCGAGCAGGTGCGATCCTGGGCTGGGTGCTCACACTCACGCCAGCTGAGCAACAGGCAAAGCAACAGGTGCGAGCCCTCTGCCCGGCTCCGCACCCAGCTTCAGGGCGGACCTGCTTGGTCTTTTACTTTTTCAATCCTCTCCCACGATATTTTCCATTGATTTTTCGGAGGGAGTGCAAGGGCAGGGGAGAGACACATGGACTGGCTGCCTGCCGCCAGCGCTCCTATGGGCTGGGGAGCCAACCGCAACCTCGGTACGTGCCCTGCACCCCGCGACCTGCCAGGCCCGGGGCTGACGCTCTAACCACGGAGCCGGGCCAGGGCACACTCAGTCTTTCAAGTGCTGAGGGATTTTCTAACTCGATGTTAGTGATATAGCACAACTGAGAAACAGTCCTGGCCTGCGGCTGCCAGAAGCCCAGCTCCCAGGACATACCGGAAGCAAAGGCTAAAGCACTAGACTGAGGAGAAAGGCATCACAACACTGAGTACTTACTCAGCTGGCATGCTGGTCATGACCAATGTTCTCACTGGCTAGAGGGTTCAAAAGAGAAGGAAAAAAAAGTCAAAAATGTGAAAACATTTTCCCACATAAATAAACATTGACATGTGTTTTTCTACAGTTACATCACTTAAAAATAAACATTTAAGCAAATATCAAAGGAAAACAACTTTGTCTTCCTGGAAACAAACAGCCTATGAGATAGAAAGGGAGCTAGTACCCCCACCCCAACCCAAAATAACCCAGACGTGAGGTGGTAGAGAAAATCCAAGTCCCCCTCCGGATGCCCGACCCCCGGGCAGCGAGAGGCCCCCGGCCACTGGGCGTGGGCTCACGGCTGCTCCTCGGAACAGACAGACCAGCTTTGCGGTCCCATCATGAGTGAATGAGCTAAATGGTCGTTAACACGTGTCCATTTCCTGTAGTGAGAGTTTGAGGCACCTTCTAAAAACCACCTACGAAGGTCGTCCACGGACAAGGCCCAGACTCATGGGCAGAAGCAAACGTCATGGCCAGAGGCACACTCCTCCCTCCCCGCTGCCCGGCTCTGATTGGCTCCTAGAGGCCCATCCAGGGGCCATAGGACTTGGCTGGCTACCTGGTTTTCTGAAGTTACTTTTCCTCTCTACCAGTTTTTGTTTTGTTTCATTAACAGATAAACAAAGGCAGGCCTTGGAGGCAGTGTGGGCTCCGCACCAGACACGGCGAGGCGTGTCACAATAAAGCAAGTCACGCATTCCCGTCTCCCAGCGCACGTAGGCTTTGTCTGTGCGACACCACAGTCCACTGAGTGTGCGGCAGCATCACGTCTAACCAGTGTGCACGCCCTGATAAAAACACTTCGCTGCTAAGAGAAAGCAGCAGAGCGAGCGAAAGGTCTCCAATGTGCACACAATGCTAAGCTCCTCCCGCCGTCCCTGCCTGCGGAGCCTGCCTGCTGGGAGCAGAAAGGCCTGGACACCCGCACCCAGGGCTGGACACGCCCACGGCTGGAGGCCGAGCCTGACCCCTCACTGAAGGGTGTGTGGGCTCCTCACCTCCTACCCCTCAACGTTTGTTCAGATTATAGAACAATTTCTGGCACAGCCGACACTCTCGGCTCCAGACGGGCCATCAGCATCTCTACAAGCCATACCGGCCAGGAGCCACAGGGCCTGTCCCACCAGCAGTCTCCGCCCTGAGGGGACCAGTCACAGGGCCCACAGGGCCCCAGCCTCACAAAGGAGGACGGCTGCCCCCCCACCCCCCCACCCCTGCAAGCCGGCCTGGGGACAGTCAGCGGACCATCACACACCAACCTTGGGGCCTCTCCCTCTCTTCTTCGCGGCTGCGGGTCTGGCGAGGTCCTCACGGCCTTCCTGGGCGCCTTCCGGGACATCCTGCCTCGCCGGTCCAGGCCTGACACCTGCAACCAGGGCCTGGAGGTCAGTCAGCACTTGCCACGCACTGAAGGCCCAGGCAGCCCAAGCAAAGGGAACATCAGAGGCACTTGCGCGCGGGTCCGGAGGCAGAGCCTGCAAACGGCAGCGCAGCCTCTCCCGCGCTGAGGTCCACGCCGCCCGACGTGCCACACAATCCCCCGACTCGGGGGTCAGGTACGACTGCCCGCTGGGCGACAACGTGCTGCTCCACCGGCCCAGGCGTCCACCTGCCCATGAGGACAGACGCCTGGATCTCCCGCACGACTCCAACCCCAGTTCTGTTTTATACGACGATCCAAGCCCGCCCTCCAGAGGAGGATACAGATCTGGGTGCCAGTGGCTGGAGAGGAGCCCCCTCCGCCCTCAGTACCAATCTGCCAGCTCCCTACGCGTCTCCACCCGACACCAGTGTCCGCCGTGAGGACACACAACCTCAAAAGACACCATCAAGCCCTGGCTGGTTTGGCTGTGGTTAGAGCGTCAGCCCCAGGGGCTGTGGGTCGAGTCTGGTCAAGGGCACACACCTGGGTTGCAGGTTCAAGCCCCTGTCAGTAGGGGGGCAACCAATCGCTGTGTCTCTCTCATCCATGTTTCTCTCTCTCCCTCCATTGTCTCAAAAATAAAAATAAAAAATCCATGGTAAAAATGTCCTCAGATGAGGATCAAAGAAAAGACAGACACCCATCCAGTGACGTGGCCTCATGTGTCTCCCTGTCCTCGCTCGCCCTCCCTGGATGGCCGCCCACTCTCTGAACCAGCTGCTGTCCTGAGGCCTAACACCACCACCACCTGCCTGGCCTCCAGGGTCCGGCAGGCAGCGGCCTGGGGTCACTCCTGCCCCAGCTCGGGCAGGGGCTGCTAAGCCAGCCCACGCGGCTGGTGACGCACCTTCCCGTAAATGCTGCTCGCTGCGGACACAACGAGGCAGAGCACGGCCCCGCAGACAACTCAGCAGACGAGTCAATACGAGGCAGAAACAACACAAGCACCTCGAAACCAAGTCACCCAACACGAGAGGGGCTGACGCAGGCACCCCGACACGAGGCACAACGACGCTGAGAATCAGACAGAAAGTGTCAGCCCTTCTTCCAGCCAAGTGCCGAACGAGGGCTGAATGTTTTCTTGAATTAAAACTAGTTCTTTGCAACTTGGGCCCTAAAAACGCCAGGTCCTGAGCACCTAGGAGCAACTTACCCCGAGGCCTCTGGAGACGCAGCCGACCCCACGCTGGCCCCACCTGCTCCTCAGCGAGCTCTACACTCGACTTGCATTGTTCAGCTCCCTCCTGGCCTCCTGCATCCCAGCCACAGCCTCAGGGGGAGAGACCCCGCCTGGCGCAGGTGGGTCAGACCATGTCCAAGGGCATCTGGCCTCATTGCCCTGCAAAACCACAGCGAGCCCCCAGGCCTCTCAGGACCGGAGGCCCTGAGGTCTGGCTCCCGCGGCCTTTCTGACCTCACCCCGTCCCCGTCCCCTTTGACACGTAGCCGACTCCCAGGGGAGGTGATACCACGGCTGAGGATGGGCCACCGCAACACCAGGGTCTTGATTCCATCACCACAAAGCCAGGCTCAGGTCAGACCAGACGATGCGCAGGCCTCCTAGGCCCTGAAGGGCCAGGATCTTGTCCCTGTGGCATGACAGGGGCTCCGAGTCACGCCAAGGCCGGGCCTGCACCCTCTGCGTGGCAGCCCACACCTGGCGGTGGCTGGACCGGAAGTTCCTGGAGGCCTGAGCTACCGACCTCACAGGGCGTGGGCACTGGGTGAGTCCCCCAAGGACCACCACCGCCTCCTGACACCCCGGGGTCCAGGGCGCACTGCGTCCCGACACCAGCTGCCCACATGTGCGTGTACGTGCTTTGTATGTGCGTGTCACAAATAGCACTCGAAGCTCTGAAATACACAGGACACAGCCAAGACTATCCTTAACCACCAAAACTAGTCTATGCGCCCAGTGTTTTGAACTCACTTTACAGTCCACACCATTTTAAAATAAATATTTGCAAACACATACTAAGCATAATGGAATATAAGATACACTTTCTTGTCAAATTTTATATATTTTCAGAAAAATAAGATATAAAAGTTAAATTAAAAACATACAATCCTCCTTGTGAGATGATTTTGGGGAGTTCATTTACTTCCAAGGAAAAGATATACAATACATCTACGATTATTTCAACCCCAAACTTTCCATCTTGAAAAGGGTGGTTAACAGCATTTGAGGAACAGAAAAATGGGGAAGAATACACTTGGTCTTAGTGAAACATTCAGCCCAACCGTTGGTAAAGACAGTTGAATTTCAAGGTCTCGCATTCTGATGGCTGAAGCACAGTTCTGCTCAAAGCCGGAAAGCGCAAAGCGTTTTCTGATTGTGCTGCCTTTGCTGAAATTACTGCAATGCAGAACTCGCTAATATGGCCACAATTAAGTTACAGAGTGGAATAAATCTATCTGAATGACATTTAACCTATTTAAGGCAAAATAAATAGAATTAAGCAAGGCCTGCTGCCATGAACTTCTTACGAAGGAAAACATTAACTACATTTTTATAGCAAACAATGCCCAAAGCTTTTTCAAAGCAAATACTGATCACATACGTCCGTGCACTTTCCACACCTTCCCTGTCCTGACAGAATCGGCCGACACCACCTTCACTTCCCTCTGAGGCGACAGCCCCCCGTGGGGAACTGCGATCGCCCCGAGTGGCCTGCACAGTAGCTGCGCCAAGGCTGCCGACCCAGGACGGCGCCCCCGAGGATGGCTCTCCGCCTGAGAAGGTCAGGGTGAGAGAAACATGTCCATAGCAGCAGGTGGGACCCAGAAATCCCACAGGGAGGTGAGCCAGGACCCCTAAAGAATGTACCATTGGAAAGTGTCAAGCCCACAATCTTTAAAAAGAAAAATATTTTTAATTATGAAAAAGCTCCGATGAACGTAAAGATGGATACACATGCCACATTCCTGTAACAGACACGTGCAGTCTGTCCCCTCTCCACCCTCTGGCTACATCTTCCCGTTCTCCTCTGGATTCTCCACATTCCATCACCTACAAAACCCAGCTCCTCACTGAGATTCACCTGCAGGGGAACTCAACCGTCCAGAGGTGGCGTCCTCTTCCCGCGGGCGCCTCATGTCCGCCGGGTCCCCGCTCTCCTTACCGCCGGGGGTGACGGCCCCGTGGTGTCCCTCAGGGCCCCCGTCTCCTCTCTGAGCATCCTCAGGGGGGCCGCGCCCCGGAGCGTCCTCGGCAGCAGGCATGTTCCTCAGGAAAGGTGTGTGGGACCCCCCACTTGCAGGTGCATGAAGCCCGGGGCTGGCCTGGGCGGTGGCACTGGTAGTGGGGACCAAGCTGGGGTCCTTGCCCAGGCAGGAGAAGTCGGACATGCCCAGGATGCTGGCTCGCTCCCGCCTGGAGAGCCCGGCTCTGCAGGGGGGGTGGGCGGGGCCGGGAGGTGACTGCAGCCCTGGAGGGAGAGTCCCCAGGCTCCTCTCCCGGAGGTTGTCTGGAGAGAAGTAATCCTCATAGGAGGACGTGCCCCCAGGAGGAGTCCCCACAGCAGGGCTGGCCGGGGCCTGGCCCCTGGGGGAGGGGAACAGCTGCACAGCAGACTTCCGGCCGCACTTGGGCTTCTTCGGCCTCCCCTCCGGGGGCGCGTGGGCGTGCTCCGACGGGCGCTTTCTCTTCGAGGAGGAGCTCCTGGCTGAGTGTCCCAGATGGTGGCCTTGAGTTACCGAAGGCTGCTGGTCAGGGGTGGCCGCCGCGCCTGCAGGGTCCGTCTGCCAACCCGCGATCTCCTCCGCACGATGGCACTCAGGCATCTGAGGTGCTAGCTGGCCGAGGTACCTGGGAGACGCGGGTGAGCGGACGCTGCTCGTTTCCAATGCCGGTGACGAAGCACACAGGGGGCTTCTAGTGTCGTCAGCGGGTCCTCCCAATTTCCTCTCCTGATCCCCATGCCCCGAGTCTCCACAAGGATCGTCCAAAGATGACTGCAGGCCGCCAGCCCAGGAGTCCTCTGGAAAACAGGGAGCGAGTGCACTTTAAAGAAGGTCTCGATCTGCCGGAACCGGTTTGGCTCAGTGGATAGAGCGTTGGCCTGTGGACTGAAAGGTCCCAGGTTCGATTCCGGTCAAGGGCATGTACCTGGGTTGCGGGCACATCCCCAGTAGATGTGCAGGAGGCAGCTGATCGATGTTTCTCTCTCATCGATGTTTCTAACTCTCTATCTCTCTCCCTTCCTCTCTGTAAAAAATCAATAAAATATATTTAAAAAAAAAAAAAAAAAAAGGTCTCGATCCCCACAGGGCACAGGAGTTCCCTCACAGTGACACCTTCCCAGCACTGTCCTCGGGTCAGGGAGCCCCCAGGCTGTGCGTGATGCCCGGGAGGTGTGTCGTGACCCACGCGACCACACGCTCCCTGCACCCACTGCACAGGCTGCGGAACCTCCCTCTGCAGCTCCTACTGTGCTCTGTACTGGACGCTTGAATTGCAAGTTAAGAAAATGCCCAAGAGGAACCACAGGAACCAAAAACGAGTCATGTGCTTATTACAATGAACTACTTTTTACTATAATTCTTAATTTCAGGGTAAATTCAGGAATTCTAGTTTTAAGTAACTAGTCTTCTCATCAAATAAAATTCCAAATAAGAGAAAACATAATATTCTTAAAGCTAAAATATCACAGAAAATGATCTACCTGAACACAAAGTGTCATGTGAGATATTCAAAGACGCTTCACAGGAGGCGTGAGCTGGGTTATCGAAAGACTTTTCCATCATCTGGGAAGCTGGAAGCATAATCAAAACATTAGATACAATTCTGTTATTTTTTCAGATGCAGCCAGCAGAAAGCCCACATTCTGCTCTTGACCCTGGAGAATACTAACTATACACCCAATATGCACCTAAAATAAAGGTGTTCCAAAAAAATGTATACACACTTTAAATAATTATTAATTCCAATGGGTTAAATCTGAAAAGAAAGAAACATCAATCGAGCTACTAAAAACTGTCTGTGTATATATTTTGGGGGGACACCTTATATTAATGAAGCATAAGGAATTTCTGGAAGAAAATTTAAAGTCTACCCGGAGACAGATTAAAATCTGTTGGAATCGGGTAACTTTAACTCAAATATCTAAAGAAACATCACACTTCCCACCACAATTACCCAGCACAGCGCTCATGTGACCACACGTGAGGCTTACAGGTCGGGGAGAGGTTTGCCCGCTTCTCCTTCATCTCCTGCAGCCTCTGCTCCATGGCGCGGTGACGACCTCTGTACGCCGTCGCTGTGGGGCTGTACATCAAGGCGCCATTGGACTCAAACAAGAGGACAGGGACGTCGTTATCTGAAACAAAGACAAGCCATAGCTACAGAAATGCTTATTTGTATCCATGATGTATAGGGTTGGTCTGAAACACTGAATTCAGAGGCCAGGTGACACAGGCAGAGAAAAATACCCAAACACATAGAGTACTTCAGAGCTTCATGACATTAAAGTATTTGTCCAAGTCATTAGAAGGATATATCTAGTGAATAAATGGGCAGAGGTGCCCGGCTGGCGTGGCTCAGTGGCTGAGCATTGACCTATGAACCAGGAGGTCATGGCTGGATTCCCCGTCAGGCGCATGCGGGACTTGCGGGCTAGATCCCCCGTGTGGGGTGTGCAGGAAGCAGCTGATCAATGATTCTCTCTCATTATTGACATTTCTCTTCCTCTCCCTTCCTCTTTGAAATCAATAAAAATATATTTTTAAAAAATTTAAAAACAGAACTGCCATATGTCCCAGCAATGTCACCTCCAAGGAGGTAACCAAAGAAAATGAAAGATGTCTGCACCCATGTAAAGGCAGTGTTGTTGATAACAGTAAAGATATAGAAATAATCCAAATGTCCACCAATGAATGAATGTGGTACATACGTATACAATGGAGTGTTACTCAGCCATAAAACAGAACGGAATCTTGCCATTTGAGACAACACGGATTGGACCTTGAGAGCATTATGCTGAATGAAATAAGCCAGACAAAGTCAGACAGATTCCGTATGAAACCACTGAGATGTGGAATCTTAAAAAAACAAAACAACAAACCCCTGAACTCACTGATACAGAGGACAGATTGGTGGCAGCAGGCGTAGTGGCCGCGATATGTGAAACTTGCTGAGAGAGCGCGTCTCAAAAGCACTCCTGGTGATGGGTGTTCACAAGGTGTAACTGATACCAACCCATCAGGCTGTTCACCTGAAACTCACATCATGTTCGATGCCAATCACAGCTCAATAAGCAGAAACTGTTCTGGGACCGATTAGCTCAGCCGCATGGCCCTGCAATGGCCACTATCAAGTCACAGGCGACTTCATTCTGTTTTCTCTTCCTGGGCTGGAGCCGCTGCAGGCCCCCTCGGGAGGCCATTCCGCATGCCACTGGCTACCTCGGTGTGCAAGCACACACGAAAAGGAGGGTGCCATATTTCTTTGCTTACCTAATGTTGTTTTTTGCCTTTGTAGCTCATTAGCCATTTTCTCAAATTTCTTTTGAAGTCTCTTATCATTTTCTGGTGTTTTAGGAGTAAAATCTTTGGGCTGCATACACCTATGCTGTGCAAAAAAGAACACAGACATTAACTCTCAGTGCTGCCTTTGTGCAGGCCAGGAAAGGGACCTGCTCGTGGCCATTCCGGGCATCTCTGATCACAGTAATAACAAAACCCTAAGGAGGCATTTGTTGCACTACATGTGAGTTTGTACGATTGTGAAAACATATAAGGGCCCTGGCCGGGTGGCTCAGTTGGTTGGAGCGTCAGCCCGCGCACCGAAGGGCCTCAGGCTCAGTTCCGGTCAGGCACACACCCAGGTGTGGGCTGAGGCAATCCACACGGAGTCTCTCACATCAGTGTCTGTGGTCCTCCCTTTCCCTTACTCTCTAAGAAATCAATAAATACATCCTCGGGGGAGGATTTAAAAAACACGACGATACAGGACTAGGGCTGGCTGTACCAGCAGCTCTGCTTCTGAGGCACTTTCAGTACCCAGCATTCTTAGTTTCCATGAAGATGGTCTCTTTCTTCTTAGTTTTGCTACCCTCATGGTCTCTCCCTGCCCCACAAACATTATGACGTAGTAGTAAAACACAAAAGCAATTATTTTTTAACTGCCAAAGGAAATAAACATAACTTAATCTTATCTCTAAATCACAGTAACCCCACTGAGCCAGTAAAAAGCAAGTAGTGTAACTACACATACACAAGGTGACAGAGTCATGAACCTCGGCCTACGAAGCCCTCGGGAAGCGGGTCCCCATCGGCACAGCTTTCCTGTGAGAACACCGCGCTCTCCCGGCCCTGCGTTCCAGCCGCACTGAACGAGGGCATCTGACTCGACCCAGCTCCTCTGCCGTAGCCACAGGGCGCCGAGCTGTGCGCGGGTCCCGACTTGGTTTCCTCTTGGCCGACAGCAGTCCCATTTCTTACAGGTCCCCTCAAAGCGCCCAGAGGGCAAAACCACCTCTAACCCACTAAGGACGCTGTGACAATGGCAGCATCAACAATGACACTGAAGGCAGCTCCGTACTCCGCTGCTAAAAGCTTCCTTTCCAGGAATAAAGTAAAAGAATGAATAAATGAGTAACTGCCTACACTGGGTCAGATACTTACTTTTTTTTTAATGAGGCGGGGCAGGTGTTCGTGGGTGTTCGCCGCAGGGAACAGGGCTTCGTCGACGTGCGCCCCGGCCGTCCTGCACCTGTGTGAGGAGACAAGTCCTTGGTGAGCATCTGTCTGCTAGACGCGCAGTGTGAAGCCTGCACGTGCCCGTGTAACGGAGGACACCCTCGCACGGGCCACCTAGCAGACACGTCTACTAAATAAGTACCCACGTGGCCAAGCACAGAGCCGATGCCCTCTCACTTCCCAAAGTCTCCTCCACCTGGTGTTTCTGAGGCCGAGAGCCAAAGCTAGAGGCACGCCCAGGAAGCATCCTTCTTCTGCAATAACTTCAGATTTGTAACCCACTTCAGAATGACCAGTGCACGGTGCTCAAAAAGGTGTAAGCACGTGCCATGAAACACATAATGAAAACAGAATGAAAGGAGTGGTTTAGGGCTGGAGGACCCCAAAGAAGCTGAGGGCAGAAAGCTTATCTTCCCTCCAAAGCCAGTTCTCCCCTCTGTGTTTCTCTCCAGACCTGTCGCCCCAGCTGGGCTGTGGAAGGGGAGGCACCGCCGAGCAGCGGGCGGCAGAACTGCTTTCCAAAACTGACAGTAGACGAGGAGAGTGGCAAGACCCCCCACTCTGCAAATGGCACCAGAGCTGGGTTCTCACACCGAGTCCACACCCCACAGGCTGGGGCTCCCAGGCCTGGCCGGCACCTGCCCTCCAGCAAACATCACCTTATCAGCATCATGAAGTTGCACCTGGCTGAGCCCCGACTATGACGACTAGCTGAGGGTCCTGTGGACGCCAGGCCTGTCTCCTCCACAAACCTGTGCTGAGACCGGGAACGTCTGTGACTTTGGGGCTGATGACCTCACTGGTAACAGTGAGGAGATGGTGCGCGTTGCTTGCTGTTTTTGACTCACAGCGTCACCAAACGTTTGCTGCTAGCAGGATGGTCTAGCTGGCAGGTGTTTTAGAAGCACTGTTCCTTTTCACACACCACTTTTCTCCGCAGGAACAGGCTCGACAAACTTCAGGTTGAAGAACAATCTTGAACCTGAGATCTCAGTTGTCTGTTCTTATAAAGGAAACTCCCAGAAATAACCCCACGAGTGGGATTCTAGCGACACCTAGTGACCTTTCCTATGTACTGTTCACGTTTTCAGTGGAAAACAGGAGCCATAGCCTGGATAGCCCTTAACAAGACAGACACAGAACCTAAAATAAAGGTCTAAGTTCTGGTGAAGGAAGTTCAAGTGCACTGAAAAATAAGGGAACAGCATGACATCAACTTTATGTTCTCACCTACAGAGTGGGGAAGACGAGAGGGCGCAGTGTGAGGGAGGCTGTGGGGTAGGTGCCTCACTGCGGGGAAAGCACGGAACTGGCACTTTCCCAGGAGGTGATCTGACAGCATCCACCACAAACGCAGCATGCGAGCCCTCGAAACCCAGAAGCCCACCTCTGGAAGGGAACCCACAGAAAGACGGTCATGCAGGCAGGGCCTCCTCGCCCATCCGTGGTCACTGAGCACCGACGATGAGCCAGGGGAGTTCAGATGACTCAGTGGAAGCACAGCCATAAAACAGGACAGGCACGGTGGATGCACTTTACATGGGAACAGAAAGACCACAGTCCACGGTTACACGGACACGTGGGTGAAAGGACAGAACAGAGTGGGTTTTAACAGCACAACAAGGGAACAGACTGGGGGACAGAGAGCACTCTGGGCAGGGAGCCCTACCACTGCGACAGGGGGAGGAGCTGCGCACCAAACGGGAGAACCGGGGCGAGGAGGCAGCATAAAGGGATCCAGAGTCCATAACATGCACAGTGTCCAAAACTCAGCCCAAAGCGACGCCATGAGGAGCCAAGAAGAAGCCCACCGACAGATGCCAACTCCATGTGCTGGGATCACCAAAGACGCAGTTACTGAACGACAAGGACACTCTGCACGGAAACGCTCCTGCAGTGAGAGACAGGGAGGCTGAGACACAAACACACGTGAGAAAGAACCGAGGGCCCGGCCGGCAGCTCAGTGGGTCAGCGTTGTCCTACACCCAAGGCTGTGGGTGCGGTCCCAGTCGGGGCACCTTCAAAATCAACCAAGGAGTTTGTGTGAATACGGGGAACAGCAAATCGCTGTTTCGCCCTTCCTCTCTCTCTCTCTCAAGTCAATAAAAACAAAAATAAAAATAAGACAAATGGAAATGTTACAACTAATATTGCCCAAAATAATGTACTAAGTGGACATAATGACAAAACAGAGTTGACAAAGAAGAGTCAGTGAACTTGAAGATTGATTTGGCGAGGAAATAAAAACTGAAAAATAATGAACAAAGCCAGGCCTCAGGACAGTGGGAAGATGTCAAAGGTCAAAGGCTGCTGACACAGGAGGGACTGACACGGAGGCCCAGGCCATCCCGGCCCCATCACACCCACCTCTGCTGCTTCTCCAGGGCTCCCTGCACCCGCAGAGCTGAGCAGCTCCATAGAGACCCAATGGCTCTGTCCCTTTACAGAAAAGCCGGATCCCCACTGTGCAGCGACCCGAGTTCTAGGGAAAGAGGGTCAAGGGGCAGAAAAGCCACTTGAAGCAACGGCCAAAACCTGGGAGCTCATACGTTCAAGCACCTCCGCGAAATCCACACAAGACAAGGAGGAAAGCACTTCAGGGAAACGTCCGAAAATCAACGTTAAGAAGAAAAACTGAGAGAAGGCAGAGGAAAAGGGTACGTGACTTCCAACTGAGAAAGGAGGGGCATGACCAGGCGCCTCCTGAGCCCCGGAGGACAGCAGGCTGTGGGGCACCTGGACCTGCTGAAAAGGAGCCACTGTCCCCCTGGAACTGCATGTCCATGGAAACGGCACCACAGATGAGCCCGGAATAAGGACATCTTCAGACAGGAAAAACGAAGGACATGTGTTGTCATCTCATTAAAGAGATGCTACACTGACAGCACTGAAGTGAGAAATAAGCCATTTAACAATGCCGTTTGGAGACTTCAATATGCCATTTAATGGTGGACAGATCAAGAAGATGACACAAAACTTAAAAAAAGTATGAACCAACTACTATTGACCTGTCAGAAAGGCACATAGAGAACATCCCTTCCACAGCCACAGAACACATTCTCCCAGGGAGACCAGTGTGAGGGCACAGAACACGTCTCGATTACCTGGACGAGATTGAAAAAATACAAAACATGTCCTCCGACCACAACAGAACAAAGTGAGGCATCAAAAATAGAATGAAGTTTGGAAAACTCAAAATATGTGGAAATTAAACAAGAACCTCCTAAATAACCAATGGGTAAAATAAACTGCAAAAAACAAATTAGAAAACACTTTGAAGTAAATGACAACCCCTCAACCCAGCTAAGACCTACTGCCTGCTAATCAGACCCCCCCACCCTCCCTTCGGGGCAAGCCTGGTGTTGGCCGGTCCTTCATTATCACGGCTTTGCACTTCCCTCCACTCCCTCGGTGGAGACTGCTGGCAAAACCCAGCCCTGATGAACCCACTCGCCTCCTTCCAGCTGTGGGCTGCTGGGTAAAGAGCGTGCCTGCTCCACCGGCCTCACGTTCAACTTACAACCACCATCCTCACGTGGGCTGTCCCTCCTTCACTGCCGCTGGGGAGCGCCTGCCTCCAGCCTGGCTCACTCAATGCCTCCACCCCTCTCCCTGCTCCTACCCCGGGCCTGGTCCCACACCTTCTCCTCCCTCACATCCCACAAGAACTGCATCATGGGATGCCCGTGACCTCTCCCATCTCAATCTCCTCCCATGCTTCCCCTCAACACTCCCATCAAGGGCTCCACTGGGCCCCAGAACATTTCTAAGCCCTAACCCCCCAGAACCTCAGAACATGACTGTATTTGGAGAGGGGCCTTCAAAGACCTAGTTAAGGTTAAATGAGGTCATATGAGTGGGCCCTAATCCAATGGGACTAATCTATATATACTAGAGGCCCAGTGCACAAAATTCGTACACGGTAGGGTCCCTAGGCCTGGCTGGCGATCAGGGCCTATCTGTGAGGTGACTAGCGGGGTGATCAGGCCACCCCCACCGCCCCCCTGCTCGCACTTGCCTTGGCTGGCCTAGTGCCGCCTGCTCGCTGCCACTGGTCAGGGCCTGCGGGCTGGGGACACTCCGGACCCCTCGGGGGATGTCGGAAAGCCGGTTTTGGCCCCATCCCCTCAGGCCAGGCCAAGGGACACCACCTGGCGGAGGGACCCTGCTCACTCCGCAGATGCTGGGGAGGGACCGTGGGAGGTTGGCTTCAGGGAGTGCCCAGCCCTTCTCGCCCAGTCCCGCCCCACCAGCCACCTTCTAATTAATTTCCTTTCAATGTGCAGGAATCTGTGCACCGGGCCCCTAGTGTCTCTGTAAGAAGAGATTAGGACACAGACACTCAGGCACAGCCATCTGCAGACCAAGCAGAGAGAGAGGCCTCAGAAGAAGCCTGCCTTGCCAGTACCTGACCCTGAACTCCAGCCCCCAGAACAGTGAGAATTACATCTGTTGTTCCAGTTTGGGAACACTGCTATGGCCACCCAGGCAGCTGATACAATCACTTCATGGCATTTGCTCCCTTATTGTTTCCTGAGCACTCCAACCACAAGCTTCGGGCTGTGTGCTCATTCCCCTCCAGGCGGCAG